GCTTTCTCTAGCACCGATGTCATTTTCGTAGGCCAATATCGTACATTTGACGTCGAAATCGGAGCCATCATGACTTTCCCTTTTGTGTTTACCGAGCGGTGTAGCCAAGTTTTCTCTCCGTTTGCCGGCAAGATGTTCTTTCACACGCACGCCTAATTGCCTTCCAGTTTCTCCAATATATAAGGCACTACAAGTTAGGCACTGAAGCTGATAAACCACAGATCTCTGTGCACAGTCTCCGACTTTCCCATATGGGCAGATTACGCAATTTTCTACGACGCAGGTTCGGTCGTAGAGGCGATTTCTGACTAGCTGGTGTTTGATGTTCTCTCTTGGTGTATTAACCAAAAAGACTACATTAGTCAGATCGGCTCTCCTGATGCATTGCTGTATAACTGCACTAAAATGATCTGATATAAATGGTAACTGAAGATACAGTCTGTCTTCAGCTCTGCGTGGGAGAAGTCTTGGTCTGCTTCGTCGTTCACGTTGCCGCGCTGTGTATCCGTTAAGATTAGCTATTTGATGTGCTAGTCCTCTGGATAGTTCCCGCTCCTCATTGCCGGTGCATACCTCCATAGCAGTTTTGTACATGTTACGTAGTACCGCACGTTTAACGGCTCTGGGGTGTGCCGACATTGCGTGAATGATGATATTTTTGGAGCTCTCCTTTCTATACCATTTCACATTGTACATCCATTGGATACTCGTATCTGAGTATTCAGATAAGGCAGCCAGCCTTCTCGTGGGACCTCCCGTGTCAGCTTGATGTACTGCGATTGACTGTTAAGTATGTTAAACAACTCATCCATTTCTGATTGAGTTGATGTAATAACACAGCAGTCATCGATTACTATATTCTGGCGCGGAGAGGCTAAGGGTGGTGGTGAAGCCAAGGTGAGTGACCAATGTTGGATTCAACTCGGATTGCACCTTTTGCTCGAGTTGCTACTAGTTAGGAGTGAGTGAGCGTTAAGTAGGATAAGTTTCATTTGAGAATCTTCGAAATGCTTCCTTCAGGCCTTGAAGACGACGAGCTAGTCGAAACGTCGGCACAATAAACGCTTCACTATAAAAAACCTGTTTGGCACAAAAAACTTTCAATTATCCATGTTCTCTTACGCAAAACTTCAGTTTCACATTTTAATTCATAAGGCTAGAGCGAGTACGCCCCCTCCCACCTGCAACACCTACAAACTCAGCAAAATACGACCTCCTCCCCGTTGGTACTTGTCGCAACATAAAGTTGGCCCTGACTACCACTGTATTGGGCCTTATTGTGAATTGTGACAGAAGCGCTCATGTGCACGAATGGGAAACCTATAGCTCTTACACTACTAGCCAATCCTCAAAAGCCTAAATGAGCCACCTTGGATAACTTATTAAAGCAGGTCATATCGGAGATTACTGGTAGTGTGCGCACTCCCGGAAAATATATTTTAAATCTCACCCTCAATAAATACTTGTGCTTATGGATCAACTGTCTCCTTAAATTGCTCTATCAATTCCAACATGAGCAGTGGTGGTGTCCGTTCCTCCAAGTGGTGGTGCCACTGGAAACTGCTCACCTTTGTGAGCTGAGCGCCAAACGGACATTCGAATGCAGGCGACAGGCCCCCGTGACAGGCCGGCCTACGAACACCCACGTCACATCACAAATGTCATGTCGCTATATGATCTCGAGATAATGCTACGGCGTCCGCGGGAGCCGACGCGCACTCGCAAAGCCCGGCGAGTGTGAAAAGTATGCGAGGGTCTCCGGTGCAAGGACGGCATCGGGGGGCAACTAGGCTAGTCCAAAAGTCCCGCAACGTATGGAAGACTCGCGTTGCAACATTAAATGTTGGCACATTGACGGGTCGCTCGTGCGAGTTGGTAGAAGCTCTGGAGCGCCGAAGAATTGATTTCTGTGCCGTGCAGGAAACGAGGTGGTCCTGCTGCAAGTCGAGGGACATTGGCCGCGGCTTCAAAGTCGTTCTCTGTGGCAGTCCCAGGACAACCAGCGGCGTCGGTGTGGTTGTCTCTGAACGTTTCCGCGATTCTATTGCGAATGTCGAACGTTACGATGACCGCTTGATGAAGATCGTTGTTGCTATGGAGCAGCGTCAATACCACATCTTTTCTGCTTACGCTCCACAGACTGGCTGCTCCGAACGAGCCAAGGACGAGTTCTGGGCCCTGTTAGATGAGAAAACCGCTGAGGTACCATCGGAGGACGCTATCATTGTCGCAGGTGACCTTAATGGACACGTTGGATCTGCGAAAGATGGTTATAGTTGTCATGGTGGGTTTGGTTATGGGTCACGAAACGCCGATGGTGAGCGAATTCTTGAATATGCAAGCTCTCACAATCTCACCATCGTGAACACAAACTATCGTAAACGTGACTCACACCTCATCACGTTCTACAGCGGTAATACCAGAACTCAGATTGATTTCGTTCTTGTCAGGCAACGTGATCGAGGGCTAGTGACGGACGCGAAGACAGTGCCGTACGAGACAGTCGCTACGCAACATCGACCACTGATTTGCACATTAAAGATTGCCCCTCCAAGGACCAAGAAAGCCGAACGGTGTGGGCCTGCAAGGATCAAGTGGTGGCGATTGAAAGAAAAGGAATCCGCTCTGTTCAGTCGCATTCGGCTACCGCCAGTAACGACTGTCGACGAAACATGGAAATGTGCCACAGAAGCGATAGTCCGTGTTGCTCGCTCCGAGCTTGGCATTACGAAGCCTGGACGGCGGAAAATCGACAAGCAGACATGGCTGTGGACCGACACTGTCAGAGAAAAAGTACGGGAGAAGAAAAGGCTCTACCAAGTGTTTCTCGGTGACAAGTCAAGCGATAACTGGAACAACTATCAGAGCGCGAAGAAGGCAGCAAAGAAAGCTGTGGCTGTTGCTAGAGCAGTTCATCTCGATGGCGTTAGCGAGAAGCTCGAGACGCGCGACGGCGAACGCTATATTTACAAACTAGCCAAGGCTCGCCATCGCCAGACCGAAGATATCGAGAAGTTCTTTGGCATCAATGACGAGAACGGGCGACTCGTAATGGACCGCAAGAGGGCTGTGAAGCGGTGGCACGACTACTTCGAGAAAATCTCGACAGTGGAATTCTCACACCCGCCAATACCTTCTGCTCCTCCGGTCCACGGCCCTGTCTCGAAGATAACTGTGAGCGAAACAGAGGCGGCTTTGAAGAAGATGAAGACAGGTAAAGCAACGGGTCCCGACGACTTGGCGGCCGATCTGTGGAAGTCACAGTGCTGGAATCCAGCAGAGTGGCTGACGAACTTCTTCAACCAAGTCGTCGCAGAAAAGAAAGTGCCGGAGAGTTGGCAACAGAGTACGACGATCCCGATTTGGAAGAAAAAGGGGAGTCCTGCAGATTGCACGAGCTACCGACCAATTCGTCTGCTCTCCCACAGCATGAAGGTATTCGAACGAATTGTAGATCGCCGTATTCGTGACATAGTCCAGCTTACCGTGAACCAATGCGGCTTCGTGACTGGCTGCGGCACCATTGATGCCATACACGCCGCTCGTCTTCTGCTAGAAAAACACCGTGAAAAACAAAAGCCGGTGCATTTTGCCTTTCTAGACTTGGAGAAGGCTTTTGATCGCGTTCCACGTGAAGTAATATGGTATGCCTTACGACAACATGGCGTCCCCGAAGAGCTTATCGAGTGGGTTCGCATGCTTTACTCAAGCCCAAAGAGCCGAGTGCAAACGTCAGCTGGCGTTTCGACAGAATTCCCCATCTCTGTTGGGGTACATCAGGGCTCTGCGCTTCCCCACTTCTTTTCGTTGTCGTCATGGATGCCATCTCACGAGATCTTCAGAAACCGGCTCCATGGACGCTTCTCTATGCTGATGACGTGATGCTCGCCTGCGAAGACAAAAACGTACTCGAACAACAAGCGCAAGCTTGGTGCGATCGCCTAGCGATGTTCGGACTCAGGTTGAACGTTAGGAAGACTGAGTACCTGACAACCGACACGAGCGAGTGCGGTTCTATCAAAATAAATGGAGTAGAGCTGACACGTGCAACGACATTCAAGTACCTTGGATCAGCAATTGCGTCTGATGGCAGTATGAGTACTGAGGTGAACTCGCGTGTGAGTGCGGCTTGGTCCAAGTGGCGTTCTATGACGGGAGTTCTCTGTGACAAGAAAATCCCAGAACGCCTAAAATCGAAGATCTATAGGACAGTCATAAGACCAGTGGCATTGTACGGCGCTGAGTGCTGGCCAGCGACCAGGGACACTGAAACTCGCCTCGGTGTAATGGAGACGAAGATGCTGCGCTGGACGGCTGGTGTCACGCGATTAGATCGCGTCCGGAACGATGTCATACGAGAACGCTTTGGTGTAGCTCCCATTGCTGATAAAATGCGCGAAGCTCGGCTTCGTTGGTTTGGCCACGTTCTTCGCGGAAATGATGACAGTGTTCGCAAGATCGGCCTCAACATAGACGTGCACGGAAAGCGGCCCAAGGGGCGCCCGAAAACAGCGCTGGCTCGATACGTTGCACGCAGACTTGAAGTTGGTTAACATCCACCCCGACCAAGCATTTAATCGGGAAAAGTGGCGACAGCACATCAGAAAAGCGGACCCCGCCAACAAGCGGGACAAACGCTGAAGAATAAGAAGAAGAAGAAGAAGAAGATTTCTTCAATTTTTACCTTTACTGAAAAAAGGTTTCTAAGTGTGGTGCTGTTTTGTTTTTGTTTTTAATTTTTACCTTTACTGAAAAAAAGATTTCTCAGTATGATAGGCACCGAAATATCGCAATAATTTTGGAAAGCTTTTGAGATTGAGTTCTTTTGAAGCTTTTTGAAATAAACTTTTTGGAGCCTCGAATTGTTGTTCAACAATTGAAAAAAGATTGATCAAAAGTATAACCACCTGTCATAATCACTGATATGCATCAATTTGCTGGGGAACGAATGGATGCATTCCTTCCAGAATGAGTGAAGCTGTGGTATGAAGAGTTCGGAGTCGGAGAGGAGAGGTCGTTTTTGGGATTGTTGTATCCACTGTTCGTATTGCTATTTATTTTTATACGTTATTATTTATTATATTTATTTTTATAGATTGCTATTTCTCTCGTAGCTACAGCTTCAATGCGCTGGAAGGAAGTACGATGGAGCAATGTCAGGGCTAGAATTCGGGTGTCGTGATCCTTCCCGTTGAAAATTGGCGAGCTATCCAAGCAATGTGAGGTCGTGCGTTTCTTTGGAGGAAGGAGATTTCGAGACGATTTGAAGGGTTCTCCCGCACTGCTGTTACCACGGTTACCTTCGCGATGCATGTCTGCTTTGAGTGAAGTGCTTTTAAAATGGGATACCCAGTGAATCCAACAAATCGGGATGAAAGAGCTCGAGCTTTGGTCGAGATGGTGGGTCTAGCCTGCGAGGTAGGCACCAGATATACTGCGAGTTGTTATCATGGAAGATTTATCTGCTCTGGTGACCAACTAGGAATTTTCTGTCTATACGGTGGCAGAATGAAACTTCTACAGAAGGTCAGGTCAGTCATAGCATGCTGTTCCCATCGAGAACTTCATTCCGCTACAGCCCATTCAATTCAGGTGGTGATTCATGGAGCGTATCCTGCGTCCAGATGTCTTTGCCGATGCTAGAGCCAATAGCCCAGTGCCCGATCAGTAGCAAAGACTGAGGCAAACGTAGCGCTGGTCTTGCCTACCGCGCTCCTTGCAAGGTTCTTCTTTAAATGTCGTAAGGCATAATCGTTGGGTTTGGTCGTTGATCTATTTGATTCCTACTTAATTATCCCGTTGCGCATTTGAGCTTCTGAAACATCCTGGCTGAAGGTCCTGATGTGTTCTTCAACATATCAACTTATTTCATTTGAAGTTAATTTGACATGAAGAAATTTGAATTTGAACAAAAATCGGTCAGGAATTGTGGGCCTACCCAGAAAAACCTATAATGTATTTCACAGTGAATGCATGTGGGTTAGTGTTCATACCCTCCAATAGTCATTCTCAGTCATTTGCGTTCACCCTGTACATATCCATTTCACCCGCTGCTTGACCATACTACCAAACATAGCGTTTCCAATTGCCACTGGTAGCCGCCAAAATTAAGACCCATCATGAAATCAGGCACGCCGAGCGCTGCGAAAGCGTCAGCTCTGCGTCGCTTGTGAACTTTGATCTTTTGCCTCAGAGTCTAATCTTCTCTATCAGTCTCTCGTAAACTGTCTGCCCCCTGTCCGCTCAAAGAAGCCCCTCATATCAGGAGTATTTCTTCTTTTTCTCCACTCTCAGTTCCGTAAACACCCGACCATCATTCGTGAGGACCTAAGCCGTTTGGACATTGTGAGCACACGAAGTCAGTGTGAATTATGATGTTCCTGCCGCAGTCACGTACAATGCGCGACGCATTGACGCGCTGAAGCGTTGGCACTGGGGCGCGCAATGTCACGTGTTATCGATTTCCATGTGTGCTCGCCTCCCACTTCTCTTTCTCTGCGCTCTCTCAGAGAGAAGAGAATGCGTCGAGCAAACTCGCCAACTATACCAAAATCTAGAAAGTGGAGGATGGCGCGCATGTTGGACTGGCCTGGAGTGCTACGGCGCGCCACGTGGGGTCCTTCTTCCCCGTGCGCGCCGCGCAAGCGGCCGGACGAAGCTGCAGGGCCACTCCGTTTTTGGGGCGTTACCCTGCAGAACTGGGCTAGCCTCATTGCTCGCGTTACTTGTAGGATTGTTCCCTTCCAGAAAGCGCATCAATGGTCGCGCATTACATGTGGCTGCGTCAGGAACACCATAATTTATGCTGACTTCGGTTGCCCACTGTGTCCAAACGGCTTATCTCATTTGTAAGCAAGTAAAAACCAGATGGTCTCTTAGCCTATTTTTTTCTAAGCGAAATCGAGGACAGTCTAGTAAAGAATGGCCTCATTTACAGAAAAAAATGCAGTGTTCCCCTGACTATAAACCAGCCTTTGCAGAATGTTTCGTTGGCTCATCATTTGCTTGAGGTCGGTAAGCAAATCCTCAAGAAAATTCCTGATCCATTGTTTGATGGACTTGCTGTGATCGATTATGAGCACTGGCGACCTCTTTTCGAAATGAACTGGGACAAAAAGAAAGTGGGTTCTGTTGGTGTAAATAACACAATGACCGTTTGCTGAAAGGTGTTCCTGATCACTTCTCCTCTATATTTTTCTTTATTTCGAAGCATTCAAATGAATTTATAATATACAAAAATGATATCAAACGAACGGTATAGAGCATCAGCAGAATCATTGTAGGCTTTCTTTTACTCATAAATAATGCAGTGAGAGCAAGCTATTCGCATTTTGCAAGTTACAGGTTTACCAGGAGCAATCTGTGAAGCACATACGAAATAGAAACCATCGCATCCCGGAAACAATAGCAAAAGTTCTAGCCCGATGGGAGTTCGACGAAGCCGCACAGTGAGCATAACTTCTTTATATTTTGAGTCAACTCAAATATATGTATAAGATGTATATGATGAATGTATATGATGGATGTATATGATGGATGTATATCTGGAAGAAACACACAAATGTTTTCTCTGAGCGGTTGTCATGTGGTCAGGGTTGAAACCGCTGGATTAATCCCAATATTTAGACATCAACCTTTTTGATGGGAAGTCATCCTTTTCCGCTAGAACTTCAACAGGTGGACACTTGAAGCTCGCCTAGCACATCAGCGGAGTACGCGGGCGCGGTACCTCGCTCTGAACGCACCTTTTTCAAAGTCCTTAAATCATACCTAAAATAGCAAGTTTCAACCGTCTACATAGATTAATCTCCACGAATCTTGCAGAGAAAGAAGACCTTTTGCAAACGAAGTTGTCGCGAACAACTTTTTTAACATCCTCGTTTTTACACCTCCAGTAGCCATCTCATTCGAAGGGACCTTACTGCAAATGAATCAAGAAGATTTCTTCTTGAAAAGTGACCAAGTAGAAAGGATCTCATTCGAAGTTGTCTACGTGGACAAAACGGACACGTTTTTGCATAATAGATATTAAGAACATAAGCAGCTCCGTCGCCCAACGTCGTATTTCGAACTTGTAAGGCAGGCATCAAGACTGTGCAAACATTTCCGCAGTCTCACACCTGCCTCTGCCTGCTTCAGATCTTTGAAAAGAAGTATTTAGAAAATTCTTCGAGGAAACTATAAAATTAGCACGTCAACTTCGCCCAAGAGCGCTTTGGGGCTATTACCATTATCCGTTTTGTAACGCAAAAGGCAACCACAGTAAGTACACCTGCAGCCGGGACGCAATGGGATATAACGACAAGTGAGTTTCTATGCTCCATAACGCAAAAATTGACCATAAATTCAATATGAAATGTAAAGAGTTTGAAAACCAGATCACAATTGTATGTCATGAGATTCATGTTTGAGGTTGGCTTTTATATATAAAGCCAGTGATGCACTTTTTCCTTCTATCTACTTGAACGGCCAGAAATCCGCAGGAGACGCTTTTCGCTATGTTCAGGTTGATTTCAGTTTTCGGTACAAACCGAATTCCAGCAAACTGTTAGAGTTCACAACAATTTTTCAGGCTGTGCTCACGGAAACGGAACGCATTGCCAAAACGCAAAAACCTCCGTTGAAATTCTACACGTACACAAAATTTGAATATGATCCCTACGACAGCCCCAAGTGGTTCTACAACGAGGCGCGTTCTTTTCACAGACAGACCCCACCAGACCTCAAAACAGTCGAAACTTAGCAACAGAATGTATTTCCTTCTTCTGCAAATTGTTTCGATATCATCGCTTTAGTCTCATGTATACGGCTAACCAATTTTTTTAGTCCAATTTATACATACAGTAGTGGCCAGAAATTTATGAACAAACGGTTTTTTCATGATTTCTCTTTTGAAAGTCACTGGAACGTCTCCAAATTTGCAACAATTATTAACTACGTGTTTTATGATCCACACAGAAAATTTCAACTTTCAGCTCAAATTTGGGTTTAGAAAATTTTAGATTTTTCGAAATTAATGAAGGCAGGTGAAAGATCACTTGATCCGTTTATTTGATTTAAATAATGTATAACCCAACAGAACAGTCAAGTAAACAGTCTAACATTAAGCAAGTCTAGCACATTGCCCAGAACTCTCTAAAGTATTGGATACATAAACTGGATTTGAATGCGGGGTCAACTAATGAACTCACTCTTTAGTGGGGTCTCTCTCTGTAGTCCCGTCTTTTCGTGGCTCTTTCATTGACATACGAATTTGTAGGTCCTCCCCTAGTGGTTCTAATGTTTGGCTCAAGAGTCTGGCCTGGCTGGTCTTTCAAAAGCACCCATGCTGTCGAAACCACTCCTGCATGTGAGAGGCCCGATGCTTTGAGTCGCTGCTCTGCTGACAGACAAAGCCAGGTCGTGTGGCAGCCATGTCTACGGATACATAACATCTTCTAGAATCTAAGTCTATACTACGTATTCCTTAGTTCTCAAAGTCTAAGAAGAGCGCTCGCTGTGAAGTGGGTGGGAGTAGAATGTGATTGACTAAGCCTGAAACGAAGGTTGATACAGGTTTCTAAGGTCATCTGGAATGACAAAAACATATTACTGATGCATGACAGCAAGGATACTAGTAATGTACGGCACCACGAGAGGGAACGTTTTGATCCAAAGAATCAGCTGCCAATTGTGAAACTTGGCGGAGGCTTGATAAGGTTGCCTTGGAAAAAAGTGGGACCACGCTACACGACTGAGGTAGCGATGAAGGCAGACGTTTGCTGTCATGTTTTGGAAGGTGTCATGTATCCGTAGACATGGCTGCCACACGACCTGGCTTTGTCTGTCAGCAGAGCAGCGACTCAAAGCATCGGGCCTCTCACATGCAGGAGTGGTTTCGACAGCATGGGGTGCTTTTAAAAGACCAGCCAGGCCAGACTCTTGAGCCAAACATTACAGAACCACTAGGGGAGGACCTACAAATTCGTATGTCAATGAAAGAGCCACGAAAAGACGGGACTACAGAGAGAGACCCCACTAGAGAGTGAGTTCATTAGTTGACCCCGCATTCAAATCCAGTTTATGTATCCAATACTTTAGAGAGTTCTGGGCAATGTGCTAGACTTGCTTAATGTTAGTGACTGTTTACTTGACTGTTCTGTTGGGTTATACATTATTTAAATCAAATAAACGGATCAAGTGATCTTTCACCTGCCTTCATTAATTTCGAAAAATCTAAAATTTTCTAAACCCAAATTTGAGCTGAAGGTTGAAATTTTCTGTGTGGATCATAAAACACGTAGTTAATAATTGTTGCAAATTTGGAGACGTTCCAGTGACTTTCAAAAGAGAAATCATGAAAAAACCGTTTGTTCATAAATTTCTGGCCACTACTGTATATTCATATTAGGTTGTCTCATAATTGGTGTCGCTTTTTTTCAAACTAAAGTTTTCTTTTAAAAGCCTTAGGCTTTTACATCAAGTCATAAATCATTCGAAAGAATTTTCTGCTCTACAAGATGCCATATATTTCTTCTACCATTGTTGCAGGGTTACAATTTCAAGGGTGCGTAAAGGGGTCTACCGACAAATTGACACAAAATTCGACCTAACCTCTTAATCTTTCTCTCCCTCGAAATCCATCAATGATGTACCCTCTACTTACATGACCTCTTCTAAACATTACACTATTAGGTTTCCCAACAAGTCGCGTCATTCCATTTCCAGACCTGGTTTTTCAACCAGAACTCGACGGTCGAGCACCATTACCTGAGATCTAGGTCGAAATTTTTTTACAGCCGAGACATTGAAAAACTAGTAGAATTTAAAGAACAAGTCATGACTAAGTTAGGAATGTACGCCTGGTTGATTCTCATCTCCTCAAGGATAATTTTTTTCAAAGAAATGCGGTCACTTTCGTGGAAGCACCTTATCCTAAACATCTAAAATTCGAACTAATTCCCAACAACACAAAACAAAACAAATGAGCGAATAGAGCAGAAGAAGTGCTCACAAAAGGAACACCACTCGATATGAAACAATGGCGTTTACGAGGAACAATTTTAATTTGAAAATTGCTATGGCTTATCCGTCAGCCAATTCGAAAAGAAAAACGGCAAAGCTTTTTCGGCAACCTAAGAGTGGAATGTTTAGAAGAGGTCATGAGTAAGTAGAGGTACATCATTGATTGATTTCTCCCCAGGGAAAATAAAGTTAGAGCTAGTTGTCGGTTTGGTCAATTTTTGTCGGCTGGACCTCCCATTTCGCAGACCTAAAATTTGAAAACCCTGGAACAGAGGTGGAAGAAGAACATAGCATCTTGTAGAGCAGACAATTCTCTTTCGAATGGTATATGAATCGATGTAAAAACCTGAGGATTTAGAAGAAAAACTTTTTGTTTGAGAAGATAGCGACACTAATTTTAGAGACAACTAACTACAACTACTCGACCTACGACAACCCTGAGACCATATCCTTACTTGTTCACACGCCCACACTCCCCCCCCCCCCCCCCCCCCCCTCCTTTTTTGCTCTCAATCCAGCAGCAGTGTGCTATCATCTATAGTATCATTTAACTGTTACCTTCTCACGACATCTACCGTCGCTGCTGGATTTACTCCCAGACTAAATTACAGGAACTATTTCAACCCTTCACAGGTCTTTGAGCGACCTCCTCATAGCACAAGCATTTCCTTTCTTCACATCGAATTAAAAAAAAAACTGAATTTGAGTCTATTCCGGTAGGAGGAGGCATCACGGTGCACAGCCTGCTCTAACGGCTCTTTTGCTCTAACCTCCTTCAAACTGCAAGTTTCCATGAGGAGAACGAAGATTCCTCCCGAACCCGGAGGCTTTCACTCCCTTCTGAAGCTTAGCTCTGCACCTATGCGCTGGGATAATATGCTATCCATGGTTATCAACATCTTAAGCGCTCTAGACCGCATGCCCCGCTTACTGGAATAGACCCCTCAACTTATCTTCAAAATGAGTTCCGCCTATCGAGGGGATTGGATCGTTGTGATTGCATTGCCAACTCCAGAGGGACATCTGCAATACTGTCAAACAGTCCGCGGATCTCGGTGCAAATGGTGTTGTTTTATGGAGCACTACTTATAATATTACTCAACGCTGCGATGGTATTGATCGCTACATGAAGACAGTTTTAGGACCGTGAGTTTTTTGATCCAGAAGCAGACATGAAAGCTAATGAGAACTTAAGACATAAAAGCATATGAGAACGAGGAACCTCTCTATTAGCCCCTGTTCTCCAGAAGACTGGATTCGACCGCTAATTCTCAGAATTTCCAGTAAAGTGCGAGATGTAATAACGAGCATGAGTGAATGCAAGATTAATAAGTGTGCCGGGAGAGGAAACTGCGTACTTCGGCAGCGGCAGGTTGAACAGTAAGATTTATTCAATACATTGTAAATATCTGTTCAAGCTTGTTCACAAAATTTGAATAGGCTTTTCTACTTCAGTTTTCTTCTTTTCCAGCTGCAGTCTAGAATTCGACATAAACGACTACGATTGTGAGCCCTGAGAAAGCTGTACCAAGAAGAAATTGGCACATCTGTCATTTGAGCCATGCATAAAAAGTTCCTAGATTCGATTGGAAATTTTAACCATGACATGAATGCTGTGCCTTCAATGCAGAAAGGGCGAAACGGGATATCAACTCGATCAACGCTAAACAATATCTTAACGAATTTTACACATTGTTTACAGTATTTTTCAATGTGCGTGCAATGGTAAATTCATGCTGTATTTCGCTTCGCCATTGCGCACGCATGGAACCTTTCCAAGCAATTAGAGCGACTCTGTGTTGGGAAAAAGAAGGTCTTAGCTTCTTGTAATCGTGGAATAGTCACTCCTTCATAATACGTCGCGCTGACACGGATGACGGGAAGTCGAATGCTTTCAGCTCCCTCACGCTATCCTTTGCTGACTGACTTGGTTTGCCCATCGTGTAGCCAGGTTATGTCATAGCTGCTTTTGTTTCTTGTTAATGAACTACATGGTTTGAATCGGTCGTTTTTGTTTTTGGGGCCTACTGTAACCGTGGGAGCAGGATTCAGCACATTAACACTTTGGCGACAGTGCGGCAACAATGTATGCCGCCATTTCTGCACCTTCATGAACATTGTGGCATCTATGCATGCCACACAGTTACACTTATTTTTGGCACATGTTCGATTTCTTCCTTGTTCTTCTCTTCCTTGTTCCGAAGTTCTACACGGGATCGGACCATCGTCTCCTCCGCGCAAGATTCCACTTCTCGATGCGTGTTGAGAGAGCAGCAAAGTTCAGGAAGCGAAGCCCCAGGACAGTCATCAACTGGGACCACTTCGCTTCCCTCGTCAGCTTATGGGAGGATTCCGTCATCGAAAACATCGACGAGGAGTACTATCGGCTCGTTGAACATCTTCACGATTGTGGCAAGAAGGCAGAGAGTTTTGAAAGTCACCAAGGGACGTCTGTCTCCGGAAACTCTCGAACTGATACGCCAGCGTGGAGCCGCACGAGCTGCAGGCAATCACCGACTCACGTCCGAGCTTGCGAAGCTATGCAGAGAGGCGATAAAGGAAGATCTCAAGGAGCGAAGAGCAGCAGTATTAGCTGAAGCAGCAGAGGCTGGGAGGAGCATCCGCAATGCCCGCCGAAGCTTTGCCAGCTACAAGACCAAGATGACCTGCCTCCGACGTCCGGATGGAACAGTTACTGCATCCCGAAGGGCAATGGAGAAAGTCATCCACGACTTCTAC